TGCAACCCAGATCTAGATCTTTCTTTTCCTTGCATTTTTGGTCTCTCCATCCCCTGCGTATTCGACTTCCCTGCTACCCTGTACCCTCACTCTGTCTCTAAGCTATCCCTGCTTTCCAGCTTCTCCCCTAGGTTCCATCTGAGCATCCTCCTCTCATCTCTGCAGCCCTGATATTCTCCACTGCCTCTCTCTCCTCTTGCTCTCCTTTTTCTTTCTCTGCCTCTCAGTTAAAGGAAAAAAAAATTTAAAACTCTTTAACAGTCACAGTGTAGTTTTAGTCCCTTATGAGACCTACACGGGCTGCTTGGTGCTGTGCGTGTATGGATCACTTGCCTTCAAAACACAGATGCCATAGTGTAGGGATATACTGCAGGATTTGGGACTTTGGGACAGAAAATGAAATTGCCTCATAAGTCCTTGCCCTATTTTGCCTCATTTCTCTTTTCATGCTTTTTCTCTCTTTTCTTGCCTCATTTCTCAATGTTTTATTCCATTATGCTCTTCTGGTATTGCCTTGTGCCAATGATTCTTCCTTTTTTCTGGGTACCATCTTCCGTCGTTTCTCTACTTCTCTCCATGGCTACTCTAGATGCTCATGTTATACGTCTCTCCTTTACTTGTTCTCTGTCCTCCTCTCCTTTACTTGTTCTCTGTCCTCCTCTCCTTCCTAAATATTTCTGTATTGCCCCTTCCTCTTGCCTGGTGCCAATAATTCTTCCTTTCTTCTGGTTACCATCTTCTGTTGTTTCTTTACTTCTCTCCATGGCTACTCTAGATGCTCATGTTTTACGTCTCTCCTTGTTCTCTGTCTTCCTCTCTTTCCTAAATATTTCTGTATAGCCCCTTCCTCTTTTATTTTCTGTGAGATTACTTCTCTTCCTTCTGTGGCATCCTGCAACCCAGATCTAGATCTTTCTTTTCCTTGCATTTTTGGTCTCTCCATCCCCTGCGTATTCGACTTCCCTGCTACCCTGTACCCTCACTCTGTCTCTAAGCTATCCCTGCTTTCCAGCTTCTCCCCTAGGTTCCATCTGAGCATCCTCCTCTCATCTCTGCAGCCCTGATATTCTCCACTGCCTCTCTCTCCTCTTGCTCTCCTTTTTCTTTCTCTGCCTCTCAGTTAAAGGAAAAAAAAATTTAAAACTCTTTAACAGTCACAGTGTAGTTTTAGTCCCTTATGAGACCTACACGGGCTGCTTGGTGCTGTGACGCAGGAGAGAGGTTTTATCCTCATCTTCTCTTAGACCTTTCTGTCTTTGGAGAAGACATCCTCCCCATCCCTGCTGCTTACCTGCCCATCGTCTTCACACGTCAAGCACAGGCGTGGGGTGGCAGCGCTTCCTGCTCTGGGACAGGGACAGAGAAGAGGCAAGGTTAGTGAGTGAGACCTGTCACTGCAGCTCACGCAGGATCCCCAGGCTCTGCACCACCAGGGAAGCGTGATGCTCCCTGGAGCAGCCAACACAGACCATGCGGGGCTGTATTTTTAATAACAAATGATCATTTATCCCTCTCCCCATCATTTCCACCCACAGTCTAAAACATTGCTTGAAAGCTCGTGTGGCCCACACCCTCTAAGACTCCTGAGCAGACATCCTCCAGCCCAAATTTCATAATTGCTTTAGATCCTTTCTTCCTTTTCCCTGCAGATGGAGAAATAGCTCTGCTGAGTTCACTGCTTTTTCAATATTTGCATGCGCTTTGAGAAAAATATCCCAGCAATCAATAGTTTTTGTGGCACGTTTCAGCCACCTGGCCAATCCTCCACTGGGCTGAGCAGCACAACACCAGGTTTTTAAGAGTGCTGGATTTTCTCCCTGTCACTCTCTGTCACATGCAATCTCCAAAGAATTATTTCTTAACATTGCAGCACGTAAACACCCTCTCACCTTCCCCCCCAGCCGCAGTCACCTTCCTACATGGATTCATCCACAGGGAAACTAGGACTTTCCTTCCCCATCCACTAGGACTAGGATTTTCCTTCCCCACAAGGGCTGGAGAAATAGCTCTTCCCAATGCCCAGTTTACCCATCAGAGGTGCTGTAGCTGGAGGTGTTGTCCCAGGGGATGAAACCTTGCAAGGTGTCCACCGTGCCGGGGTCTCGGGTGGGGAGGGATGGCTCCAGCCCCCGGCTGCTGGACCCGTCGCTCTCACCAGACACAGTTGGAGAAGTCCAGGCTGGATTCTTCAGCTCAGCACCAGGACGGGCATCTGACCCCATCCCAAAACCTGGCTCTGGTGCCAGCGTTGCCGCGATGCCAGGGGTGTGTTGTGGGGAGCTGGTGGCAGCCACGGGAGAGGTGGGACCTTGTCCAGCAGGGAGACAAAAGAAGAAGCAGGCAGAGAGGAGCAGAAGTCTATTGTCTTGGGTTTGTTTGTTTCAAATCCCACTCGGTGCTAACGTTTGCCAGGAAGGATCATAATAGTGACTTTCTTTTATTTTCTTGTCACTTAATTCTAAGTGGGAACCCAGATGGAAAGTAAAGCAGCAAAGCTCACTGCCTAAACTACGGACAAGTAAAATAATTAAAACTCAGTCTTGGTGCCATGCCAACAATGCTGACAAACACATCTGATTTGGGTATAAATAAATTCTTGGGGCCTTTGACTGATCAAAACCACATAAATACAACTAAATACATACCTGAGGGGTAATAGCCACATTCAGAGACAAATGCATTCCTTTATTTAGACACCATTGCTAATTGCACTTGCATGTCTTATGGAGGTGAGATTTTTTAGATAAAGTATGTTGTATTTTAGGGTTTGGACTGAAATAGTAAGATCTGGCAACCCTTTTTATCTTTCCAGTACCCTCCTCGGAACTGGCTCCACCACCTGGAATGCTGACCCATCCCCTCACTTCAAGGCATTCATCACGGCCATCGCCAATCTCCCGACGACCACAGGAGTGAAACGGGTATCTCCATCTTATTTGAGGTCACTTGTCTCCAATGCTGGCCTGGAAGAAGCTGTAAAACTACTCTGGGGGAAGCAGTGAGTAAGGATCCCATACCTTTGCTCGCCGTCCCCGTGGGGTGTGGGTCAGCAGGTCCCTGCCAGGGCTCGGGGCTTACGGGGTCGGGCTTCTTCTCACTGCCAGCAAGGGTTTTGTTTCGCCCTCGCTGAGCCACGATAGCAGATTCGATCTTTGCCCAGTAAACAAAGTACGACTGGACGATGGAAATGCTGTTAAAACATAATTAAGCAAGAATTTCCTGGCTCTATAGCATTAATAAACCATCCGGGCTGTTTGGCTGATCCCGGGAAGCAGTGAGTAAGGATCCCATACCTTTGCTCGCCGTCCCCGTGGGGTGTGGGTCAGCAGGTCCCTGCCAGGGCTCGGGGCTTACGGGGTCGGGCTTCTTCTCACTGCCAGCAAGGGTTTTGTTTCGCCCTCGCTGAGCCACGATAGCAGATTCGATCTTTGCCCAGTAAACAAAGTACGACTGGACGATGGAAATGCTGTTAAAACATAATTAAGCAAGAATTTCCTGGCTCTATAGCATTAATAAACCATCCGGGCTGTTTGGCTGATCCCAAGGACGGCTGAAACCAGAAGGCAGAAGCAGCACGAAAATATTTTAAAGGATTAGCCCGTCACACGGTTCATATTACAAAAAAAGACACCCGGTCCCATCAGAAAGATGCTTGGTGAAGAAGCACCACTCATAATTAAGCTCAGTCAAAAAAAAAAAAAAAAAGGGTTGGGAACTTAAATTAAAAAAAAAAAAAGGCTATTATATTCCTTGTGTTAACAGAAGTACATCTGGAAAAGTTGGACTAGCTCTGCTTATAATCTTCCGTAGGCAGGGAAACAACAGTGGTATTTACTAATTAAAACAAGTCAATGTAACTTGTACAAACAGCGGAATAGGTAGGAAAAAAAATTAGTCTCTCTTCTCAGCCCTCTGATATTTGAACCCTCCTAACCCTCTGCTTTTTGTCAGGTGCCAAAACTGCATTGGCCAACCTTTAAGCATTCATCTGGAGAGCCTTATTTAAGCTGGAGATTTGGGGAGAATTTCAGCTCAGATTGCTCAGCTGCTTCTGAGAATTAGTTAAGGGGAAACCAGCCCGGGTTCTTTTGTGCCAGTTGACTCTTATGAGGCATTTTCAAGCCTAACAAGGAGTTTTTCCAGATGCTGTGACAGGGAGAAGCCATCAGAAACCAGCTTGGAGGGTCAAATGCCAGAGGGTGAAGGATGCATCCGAGAAAGCTAGGAATAGGTGGTGTTGGGTTTGGGCTGGGTTTATTTGGTTGCTTGAGTTTTATGTGGTCTTAATAGTATTTTCCAATCTAAAACAAGAGGCCAAATTGGAAATGCTAAGCAGCGATGTTTTTGTTTGAATGAATTAGTGTTGAATGAGATGCACAAGCCACGGCGCTCACCAGGATGCTTATGCTTTGGGGAGCAGCCAATGATCTGGCCAAGCAGCTTCTAAGCAGTTCTGTAAAGTCAAAACATGACAATTTAATCTCTTCCAAAATAAAATATCACTGAGTTTCCTCTGAAACAGCCAGTTAGAAAATGTTTGATTTCACTCCAAATCAGAACCAAAATACTTGGACAGTTTGGGACTTGGGTGCAGAACAGGGATGACAAGTTTTGTCCCAGTGCTCAGTCTCTGTTCCTACTGTCAATTCTGCTTACATTTAACTTTTTAAAAAAACACCTTCCTACTGTGAAAATTCTGCTTACATTTAACTTTTTAAAAAAACACTCATTTTTAATTATTTTTTCTTAAAAGAAGTGATATACAAGATTATCTTTTAGGCAGGGAAGTCCTGTGCTCTGTGTTATTTAGAAAGACAGCCAACTTGATCACAATTCTCTCTTTATGCCTTAATATTTCTGTTTCCTAAGCGCTTAGGCTGTCGTCTTCCAGTGTGGTTACTCTGAGAAAATAGTGACCATGTAAATAAAAAGCAGCATTACCCAGCAAATATAAATGGTGATTTATGTACCTGCTGGGGTACTGCTGCAGCATTTGATAGTTATTTAGCTACACGTGGTTCAAGATACATAAACCACTGCGCTGGACAAGTGCAATGGGAAAAATAAAGCCAAGCCTTTAACTGAGAAGACACAAATTCTGGTTAGGAACCAGCACATTCTTACAAAAACTTGATGTCTCCAATGGGCTGGTCTGGTGCTTTCCATACGAAGGACAGGTTTCTCTTCAGTGACTTGTCTGAGTGGGTGACGGTGTCACCATCTTCAAAACAAGTCAGCAGCTTGGAACCAGGAGGAATGAAGACGAAGGTGCCAGCGATTTCGTCGTTAGACACTTTGCGAGCTTGAAGCAGAAAACCCATAAAATCCCGGGTGCTCCTCACTGTCACTGCAAGACACAACACAGGACACAAAGGGGTTTGTCCCGTAGCTACGGGGGTGAGTGATTTGCAACGGAGTTTCCAGCGCTAGCACTGAAAACAGAAGAAAACCTTGTGCAGAAACAACACTCTCTGTCCTCATGGTCTGTCTCGGACGTGCTGGACACAGGAGGCCAGACTTTACCCAAATTTGTAGTATGTAATTGCACACAAAATTTGCTTGAGTCTTTCCCCCACCTCGTGCTGCCCTCAGAGGGGTTTTGGTTTTCCACAGGGATGAGCAGGCAAGCAGCCAGGCTGGGGAGAGCTGCTCCGTCCACATCTGCTTCAGGAGTGGTGACGCTGGGGACAGGGCACGCTGCCCAACCGTGCTTAGGAGTGAAGTGAGTCACCCAGTGCACCCTTTGTGCAGTGCAGAGGAGCAGGGAAGGCCACTTGACCCTCTGGAGGTGCCTCTCGCGCCGTTGCAAGCGATGAGGTCTCGACAGTATGCAACAGAATATGGTTGAATCCCACCCAATGCATCCCAACCTCTGGCAAACAGCTGGTCTGCAACACGGTGAAAATCTGGAGTCAGCCATCACCTGAAAAACCTTAGGAAGGTGCTGCAAACAGAATCCCTCTGTAAATACATTCATTTGGGCATGTTTAGCTTGGAGAAGAGGAGGCTGAGGGGAGACCTCATTGCCCTCTACAACTACCTGAAAGGAGACTGTTGAGAGGCGGGGGTTGGCCTCTTCTTCCAAAGGAATAATGACAGGACCAGAGGTAATGGTCTGAAGCTGTGGCAGGGAAGATTCAGATTAGATATTAGGAAGAATTACTTTACTGAAAGAGTGGTCAGGCACTGGAACAGTCTGCCTAGGGAGGTGGTGGAGTCATCATCCCTGGAGGTATTTAAGAAACCTGTAGACGTGGCTCTTCAGGGCATGCTCTAGTGCCCAAGATTATTGGTTTGTGGTGGGGTGTAGTGTGTGGGGTTGTGGCTGTGGGGTTTAGTTGGTGGGTGGTGGTTTTGGGTTTGTTGTTTTTGTGGTGGTGTGTGTTTTGTTTTGTTGTTTGGTTGTTGGTTTTTTTATGTGGTTGGACTCAATGATCTCAGAGGTCCCTTCCAACTACTAAGATTCTGTGATTCTGTGATTTCCTCGTAACGAGAGAGGTGGCGTAGCTCACTTGGAGCAGCTCTCCTTCTTCCCCTCAAAAAGAATTAATGCCATCACCTGAGCTCAACTATCATGTGTTTTTCAGATGGAGGAATGAGAAGCTGTTCCTTACCTGGAACCTTGTCGCCAGGGAAGTAGAAGGACATGTTGGTGTGGACAGTGACGTAGTTGTTGTTGGGGCTGTGCAGCTGTGCTCTCAGGTGCCTGGGCATCATGTCGATGCAGGCGGAAAGGCTGGCGCCGTGCGAGAAGGCAGCTGTGTAGGACACCAAGCACAGGGTGGTGCATGCCCAGCCAGCGATGGCGACATGGGGTCTCCTGCTGTCCTCCATCCTACGGCCATAAAACCAACGGGCAGGTTCATTTCAAAGCAGCACCTTCAGCTGTGAGCACCCCCAGCACCTTTGAATTAGCTGAGCTCCAGAGCTGCCCTTCCCACAGCCCACCTCCCCTATGAAGACAGGCTGAGAGAGCTGGGGTTGTTCAGCCTGGAGAAGAGAAGGCTCTGGAGAGACCTTAGAGCAGCCTTCCAGTACCTGAAGGGAGCTACAGAAGAGCTGGGGAGGGACTCTTTGTCGGGAAGTGCAGTGACAGGTTCATTTCAAAGCAGCACCTTCAGCTGTGAGCACCCCCAGCACCTTTGAATTAGCTGAGCTCCAGAGCTGCCCTTCCCACAGCCCACCTCCCCTATGAAGACAGGCTGAGAGAGCTGGGGTTGTTCAGCCTGGAGAAGAGAAGGCTCCGGGGAGACCTTATAACAGCTTATCAATACCTGAAGGGAGCTACAGGAGAGCTGGGGAGGGAGTGTAGTGACAGGACACCCTCTTTGTCAGGGAGTGTAGTGACAGGACAAGGATCAAAGGGTAATGGTTTTAAGCTGAAAGAGGGGAGATTTAGATGAGATCCCAGAAAGAAATTCTTTGCTGTGAGGGGGGTGAGACACTGGAACAGGTTGCCCAGAGAAGCTGTGGCTGCCCCATCCCTGGAGGGGTTCAAGGCCAGGCTGGATGGGGCTTGGAGCAACCTGGTCTGGTGGGAGGTGTCCCTGCCCAGGGCAGGGGGGTTGGGACTGGGTGATCTTTAAGGTCCCTTCCAACTCTAACCATTCTATGGTTCTATGAGAATAAATGATCTCTGTGGCGCATGGTAATCCACAAACGTTCACAATTTGAAGTAAATTGTTGAGCTGGGAGAGGAGAGGGCCCTGCAAGAGAATGCATTTCTTGCAAAGTCTCCCATGGAGGGAGCGGTCGGAGAAGATTTGGTCTTAAAAGTCCTGTGGCATTTAGGAGGAGGAGAAGACTCTGCATGACCACGCTCAGCAGCCTCCACCATTCCCAGCCCAAACGTACAACCTGACCAATGGGGGAAACATCTACCCCTAGACCTGCAGAACCCATTGCTTGCAGAGCTGGTGCCCAGCACAGAGCCGTGTCCCCACAGGGACATCATGGGGCTGCTCGTGACCATCAGCCCCATCCCTGGCCACCCAGCAGCATTTCAGCTTGTCCTTCTTGGTCAGGGCTTGCTATTGCTGACGAGACAGAAACAATGCTGTCTTTGAAGTCATCGTTGGAAGCCTGAGATGAAACGGACAGCCGTTTTGGCTAATGCCAAGATTTCTCCTTATTCTCCAACTTCTTATCCAAGCAAGCATTTTTTTTCCCAAGGCAGTCAAAGATTACTATTTGGTATGCCACGTCTTTAGCACCTCTCAGCTCTGGTGGCTGGCACAGAACAGGTTTCCAGATTAGCTGGTGTATTGTGTTCCTCTGATGTTTCAGAGTGCGCTTTGGAAAGCGCAGCTGAATGAGGTATTTATCCAATGGGTATCGTTAAGGCAGGTCCCCCTGCTTTTAATGCAGCCCTTTCCAACACCTTTCTTTTCAACATGCAGCTTTTCCTGGCTTAGATTTAATTTCTCTTAGTCAGTAAGTAGATGTCAGTAAACCAGAGGAGAGCAGAGGCTGAGGAGGTGTAGCCTACACCTCCATCTCCAGCACTTCTGAAACTTGCCAGCGGAGTCTAACAAGCCACCTCAGCACACAAAAGAGATCATCCCCAGCCTCAAGCAGGGAGCAAACAGACACAAGTTTAACCTTCCACAGCTCAGCATCGTGCCATTCCGACCAGTTACCTGCCGAAAGATGGTTGTGGGAGTCACAGGAGCCTTCCCTAAATACCCCAGCCCCTGCAGGAGCAGTGGTGGGGTGCCTCCTCCTCGTGGAGCCAGCCTCCCCTCTGGGCACACCTAAACCTCCCTCGCTGGCCTCATGGAAGCCCCCCCCGAGAAGCAGCTCTTTCCCCACCTGCCCCCCGTTTCCCTCTCCCAGGCGTGGGGAGCTCCCCAGGGCCACCCGGGGTGGGGGCTGCCGGTGCCGCGGTCGCTTACCCCGGGACACGTCTGCCGCCGGGCTCGCTGCCGCCGCTGCCCTCCCGGCCTGCGGGGACCCATCCTTTCAGGGACCTTCTTCCCTTCCTCCTCTAATGGGAAGCGCGGCAGCTGTTACTGCTAATACCCACCACCTCCGGCAGCGCTCCGCCAGCCCACAAATCCTGCCTTAATCATATTAGTTTTCCTCTTCACATCCCACCCACTTTTTTTTTTTTCTTTTCTTTTCTTTTCTTTCCTTTTTTATTTTTTTTTAAATCTCCAAGCTTCTGCAATGAAAACAAAGACAACTAGCTGCCGGGGGGAGCACTCTGGGACTCCTCTGCAGGGGTGGAGGATCAGACTCTTGCTTGCCCTGTTACCCTCCCCACACTCCCCCCCCCACACTTCCACGCCGAAACTTTGCAAAGCAAACCACATCAGCTCCCTCTAGCCCGTGACACACCACCACCACCACCCCTCCCAGCAATATGCCCTTGTCTCCCACGCTTGCATGGGAGTTATTTTGCTAGTAAAAGCAGAATTTTGCTAGAAAGGCCAGGGAAGGTGCATCCCACATGCCAGCCTTGCCAGGAGGGGCCATAGACAAGCCACAAACCCACCAGAGCTGGCACATGGGACTAAACATCTGATCAGTGTGACTGTCCCCTGGCACAGGAGCTGTGTTTCACCCCAGCTTCTCACCCTTGCTCTTTGTCCAGGCTACGCTGCAACCGTGCGGGTGCCTGGCCGTGGAGCTGATCCTGTTTCTGGGCTTCCCCACTCCTCCTTGGACCCACCTCATCGCTGAAGACTGCTCTGGTGATCGGGACTCTCAGCTGACCCTGGCCACCACCACCAGGCTCGCCCCACACCCTGCCAGCAGCTCCTTGCTCACAATGGATAGAAAGGAGGGTCCAATTTTCTTATCGTCATTAGAGCCACCATCAGGAGATGCTGAACGTACTGCTGGCACCTTGTGGCCCCAAGTAGGGTAGAGGAGTGGGGTAACAACCCCATGGGCTGGCTGGCTTTTCTTCAGCCAGCAAACCCTTGAGAGGCAGCTTCAGATGTCCCAGGGCCACCAGGAAGGGGGCTGGCCCTATGGTGCAGGAAAGCTATTAAAGATGGAAGGGCAAAAGTGCATTTGGTGCTCTTCAGTCCTCCTCCTCCTCCTCCTTGGATAAATGTGTGTCTAGTGGCTGAATGAGTTCATGCTGGTGCTCAGGCCACCCTCCCTGCAGGACAGCACAAAGCTCTGTGATGTCCCATGTGTAAAGAAGATACACCAACACAGAGGTGACACCACCATGTTTTGTTTCTGCAGCTCCAGTGGTGCCTATGTTTGATCTTGCTTAGGGTTTGACCAGTGTGGGATTCGTTCAGTGGTGACCTCTGCCTGGGGCACCCTTCAAAAACTGGAGGTAGGCTTGTAGACACCCCACTTATCGGTGCTGTTCCCATCAGCCTGCCCTGCTCTGCAGCCTGTCCTTCATAAGTGAAATAAGATGCTGGGCTGGCGCTGAGGTACTGCCACTGCCAGCCCAGCTCTCATCTCTTTAACCAGTTTGAAAGCATGGGAACTGGTGGTACTGGGCTCTCAGCAGACCGCTCTCCACTGCAGCTGAAAGAGGCCTTATATTCACTGAATTTCAAGGCATAATGCAAGTCTTACAGTTTTATTTCCTGTTGTCAGTGGAAGCAGAGAGTAGTTCAGGGGGAGGGAGGAAGAGTTTGCAGTATTGCTTCAGTTCCAGTTTGTAACTGCTCATACTTTATACACAAAAGAGAGTACTTTTATGCTCTAGTAATGACTAATCTTTTCCTGAAGTCAACTGGATAGTATTGCTTCAGGTCCAGTTTGTAACTGCTCATTCTTTATACACAAAAGAGAGTACCTTTATGCTCTATTAATGACTAATCTTTTCCTGAAGTCAACTGGTCTCACAGCATTTCCTTGCTAACTTATTCCTAAGCTAAACTATCCCTTGCTTGCAGTTCCAGCCTAATAAAGCAGCAGCTCTAGACCTCTGGTGATCTGCAGGGAAAACACCAAACATGTTGCAGCCGTTCTGACGCAGTGGCCGTGTCTGAAAACAGTACTCCAGGTAAGTGTAGGTCTTCACATCACAGCATGGTGTTATCACAGCGTTACATGGTCTTCTGCAGCTGGGCACACGTTTTCATTATGCCAGTTGCAGCAAGGACCATTTCTCCACCGGCTTCCACCTGAAAAAGGGGGAAAAGCAACAGGGTGAGAGTGCAGACCCTCACACAGCGGGGTTGGGTGCTCTGTGTGAAGCAGCTCTTTCGGGTCCTCTATGGGGAAAAGAGTTTCAAAGGAATGAGACCCAGACCCATCCCCTCCATAACAGCATAGGATGTCCCACAGTGCTGAACTGGCTCTGCTTGCTCCCGGGGCTGGCAGCAGTCTCTGGGCAGGGCAGGACGTGCTGCTGGGGGCTGCTGCACGCAGGTTTAGCTCGGTTCTGCCTGGACACAGCGTGAATTGCTGGGCTGATCTGAAATACAGCCTTACGCAGAGTTCATCCTCGCCGCCTGCTCTCGAGCAGAGCAGCCCCGTGGCTTCAAAGCCGCCGCGCAACCAAATGTCACAACCATCTCCCTCCTTAGAGATGGAAAAAAGCCTGTCACAGCCATCACCGCCACACAAACACCTACCAGCAACCTCAAACTGCACGTTCCAACGCCGCGTGACGGGCAGATGTTCCCAACGAGAAATACAGCCCTCACCATAGCCTCTGGTTGCATCACCCACCGGGACAGCATTGCCTCAGCTTTCTCTGGCCAGAGCTCTGACCTGCTGGAGTCACTTGAGCTCGGCCAGGCTCTGCGTGTCCCTCTGACGACGGAGCCCAGACAGACACAAGAAGAGCATGTGGCACTGCTGTCACTACAGGGAGGTTTGCCTTTTTCCTGTCGTAAATTTCTGTGTCAGTAGGAAGCTGGCAAGGAGAAGGGGACGTGAGACAACTTACATCCTGCTTATTGTTTTCTCAGCAGCATTGGTGTAGCGGATTTCTAGAAGAAAGGAAAAACACAGTTGGGATTTTAAAATAGCACTGGGGAGAACTGTGCATGCTCTGTAATAGCTCGCTAATTAAAGTGGACTATAAACCATGTAACTTGAAATTTCAGCAGTGTAGTACACAGATTATAAACCCAGTAACATCCCAGGCTCTTTGATGCAGAAACTTTCTCCTTCTTGCAGATTGCTTCTACATCTCCACATCATCGGGGCATGACAGGGACAGCAGACATGGTGCAGGTGCAGTGGAGATCAGTACGTAATACGGGCATGGATGTAAGCAACCCAGAGCTGACACTCAAGAGCAAGCTGCTTGCTTCATTGACAGGTTGAGAATTGCTTTGCTACTGCAAGATAATCAGGGTTATAATAAGTCAGAAGTCCTTCCCAGACCATTAGCAGCCACCTGAGTCCTGTGAACGAAGTTTGGGGTGGGGGGTTAGAGAAGGGTGGGCACGTTGATCAAGTAGAGATCTTGAAGGTGGCAACAGTTAGTTGAGTCCAGATTACAAGGAACTGATCACTAAACCAACAGCTAGCAGTACCATCTTATTTAAGAATATTTCAGGCCATCTTAAAAAAAAAAAAAAAAGGGGCAGCCTGCCCTGCTCTGCAGCCTGTCCTTCATAAGTGAAATAAGATGCTGGGCTGGCGCTGAGGTACTGCCACTGCCAGCCCAGCTCTCATCTCTTTAACCAGTTTGAAAGCATGGGAACTGGTGGTACTGGGCTCTCAGCAGACCGCTCTCCACTGCAGCTGAAAGAGGCCTTATATTCACTGAATTTCAAGGCATAATGCAAGTCTTACAGTTTTATTTCCTGTTGTCAGTGGAAGCAGAGAGTAGTTCAGGGGGAGGGAGGAAGAGTTATAGTATTGCTTCAGGTCCAGTTTGTAACTGCTCATTCTTTATACACAAAAGAGAGTACCTTTATGCTCTATTAATGACTAATCTTTTCCTGAAGTCAACTGGTCTCACAGCATTTCCTTGCTAACTTATTCCTAAGCTAAACTATCCCTTGCTTGCAGTTCCAGCCTAATAAAGCAGCAGCTCTAGACCTCTGGTGATCTGCAGGGAAAACACCAAACATGTTGCAGCCGTTCTGACGCAGTGGCCGTGTCTGAAAACAGTACTCCAGGTAAGTGTAGGTCTTCACATCACAGCATGGTGTTATCACAGCGTTACATGGTCTTCTGCAGCTGGGCACACGTTTTCATTATGCCAGTTGCAGCAAGGACCATTTCTCCACCGGCTTCCACCTGAAAAAGGGGGAAAAGCAACAGGGTGAGAGTGCAGACCCTCACACAGCGGGGTTGGGTGCTCTGTGTGAAGCAGCTCTTTCGGGTCCTCTATGGGGAAAAGAGTTTCAAAGGAATGAGACCCAGACCCATCCCCTCCATAACAGCATAGGATGTCCCACAGTGCTGAACTGGCTCTGCTTGCTCCCGGGGCTGGCAGCAGTCTCTGGGCAGGGCAGGACGTGCTGCTGGGGGCTGCTGCACGCAGGTTTAGCTCGGTTCTGCCTGGACACAGCGTGAATTGCTGGGCTGATCTGAAATACAGCCTTACGCAGAGTTCATCCTCGCCGCCTGCTCTCGAGCAGAGCAGCCCCGTGGCTTCAAAGCCGCCGCGGAAACACCAAACATCTCGCAGCTGTTCTGACGCAGTGGCCCTGTCTCTGAAAACAGTATTCCAGGTAAGTGTAGGTCTTCGCATCACAGCACGGTGTTATCACAGCGTTACATGGTCTTCTGCAGCTGGGCATACATTTTCATTATGCTGGTTCCAGCAAGGACCATTTCTCCACCGGCTTCCACCTGAAAAAGGGGGAAAAGCAACAGGGTGAGAGTGCAGACCCTCACACAGCGGGGTTGGGTGCTCTGTGTGAAGCAGCTCTTTCGGGTCCTCTATGGGGAAAAGAGTTTCAAAGGAATGAGACCCAGACCCATCCCCTCCATAACAGCATAGGATGTCCCACAGTGCTGAACTGGCTCTG